AGCGCTAGTCTCGTTGGCGCGGAGAGGTTTATACGAGAGTGGTGGTGGTGGTGGTGGTGGAAGTAGAGGTGAAGGGTGGTGGTGGAGGTGGTGGTGCAAGGGCAAGAGGAGGAGGAGCGAGAGGAGCAGAAGCAGGAGTGAGATGAGGCACGACAGGTGTTGGAGAACGTGTTGCAGGAGCACGAAGGAGGAGGAAGGGTGCTGGAGGGAGAGCATGAGGGGATGCGAGGACCCATCGTCTTTTTATCGACCAAGAGTGCGCCAGCACACACCCCTTGTGTCCCGCGTAAATGGTCGCGTGTGACACTGGCACGACACACTCAATATATGTACATGTCTACTGTATATGGCACCTATTAGTGGGGAGATTCATGAGAATGAGAATGGAGCTGCGCATGCAGTGCGGCTGCAGGCAATGGCGAGGCTGGCCTGCAATCATCAGGTGTTTTTATGATGCGCGAAAGCCTCACAGGGCGGCGGTTCGTTGCCGACCCCGTGTCGAAAAAACACTCTCACAAAAACTAGTCGTAAAGCCGAACCGAAAAGCGTCTCGTTGCCGTACATGCACGGGACAACGGGCAGGACAGACATCTTCCTCGACCTTGAGGAAAGCTTCAAGCCGTGCAAAAAGAGAAAATCGCAAAAAAAATTGTACAACGAGCGAGATTTGAACTCGCGCATCCGAAGATACTGCGACCTGAACGCAGCGCCTTAGACCGCTCGGCCATCGTTGCGGGTGTTATAAAACCAAGCCCGCCCCACGGACCATATCCGAACTGTCGTTTCAACGGTGATCCTCCTACCTGTTCACTCTACGTCGAGCTCTTCCTCCTCGATGGCGCGAGCCTTCGCCACACCTTCGTACTCCTTCGGATATTGCGTTGCTACCTTGGCCTTCAAGGCTCTGTGACCAAGAACGAAGGTGTAGGCGAGGTCAACCAAGGCCGTCGCTCTGCCGATCTTCCAACCGGATGGATACCGACGACCCACGCACCTTATCCGTCGGAACACAATGTCGAGATCCGCCTTCATGTCCTTGAGCATGTGGGTGTGATTGGTCAGGACAGCGACCGATTGGGTGTATCGTATGGCGGACGTTTCGTTGAAGCGTTCGAGGGTGTGGGAGTTCTGTCGCATGGTAGCCACTCTGTGTGCACGACGGAACAAGCGAGAGAGAGAGAGCGGAAGCGGTCATACTGAGTACGGGGATCGGTACGGAGTAGCATGCGGCGATGTCAATCGATGATGTTGCTGTGGAAGTGTCCACGTGTCCACGTACGTCTGTTCTTGGGAAGTGACAATGTGCGTCATGGCGGTCGCGTCCACGACGGAAGCCAGGGCTCGCGTGAACTGCTTGGATGAGGTGTCCACCTCGATGGCGGATAGAGATGGTGAACGAGTGAGGGCCGTATCCAGTGGAGGTGGGAGCTTTGATGCACGGCGCGTCGACATTGTGGTTGCTGGCCGAGCAGCCGACGGCTGAAGACAGGGCAAGTGAGAGGAGGGGAAGACGACGTGACGTTGCTGTGTCCGACTCGAGCGGACGGACCTTTACAGAAGTCACCGCTGGCTCTCTCTGCTCTCCCTCGTCTGAAGCTGTTGTCTGCTGCACATATTCGTCTTTCTTTCAACTACTGTCGGCGACTAGAAGCGAACGTTCCCGACGGTCCTCTTGAAGTGTGGGAAATGACTGCTGAGGAACTGGCATGGAGATACCCACCGAATGCACGATCTGTCTCGATGCCCTAGGGAGTCTGCCCAACAACGAGGAACTCGACTCGTCATTTCCCTCGCCAGTATGCGGACTTCGCGTCTGCGGACACTTTTTCCATACGTCTTGGTAGGCCAATCTGCTTTCTCATCGGACTCTGGAGGACGTAGATTGATCATGCACGGTCTTTCGTAGCATAAGAAAGATCTTTTACCTGCGCGGTGACGTCGGGAGACGCTGCCCAAACTGCCGAGCAAAGTTCAAAGTGTCTCCTGAGCAGCTGCAGCTACCTCTGTTCTTCCTACCCGCGAAACTCTTCCTCGCCGGGTATGGAACCGCCCAGAAACGTCCGCGGTCCGGGCCGCAATCGACCGGCGATGGCTCGGATGCCACGAACAATCCCGTCACTTCCTCCTTCTCCTCCTCCTCCTCCTCTTCGTCAGATGAGATAGCCCATCTGGAATCCCTACTCACGTCAACGCGAGCTACCCTCGCGAGCCAGACCCGTGACATGTCTATCCTTGTGAGAGAACATCGAAGAGCCCTCGCGAGGGCCGAGACGGAGCTCAGGGATGCCAACGTAGCGGCCGAAAAGTGTAGGGAGGACTTTCGTGCCGTCAGCGATCGAAATAGGGAGCTGGTGAAGAGCAAGGAGAAAGCGGTCAGGAACGTCACGAGGGACGCGGACGCCCACATCGCGGAGGTCAAGAAGGAGGCAGCATCGCAGAAGCTCAAGATGCAAGAATACGCGACGACTCTGGAGCAAGCCATGCAGAAAGCGGAGATGGAAAGGGAGAAGGCTGTCATCACAGCTCAGTGAGTATCAGACTATGGAACCGCATCGTCGTGCAGGAGATTCTGATCGATCGCTTTGATAAAAGATCACATTTGAATGCCACGCCGAACGATTGGTCGGCAAAAGTCAACAGACTCCTGGCCGGTCTGGAGACTGTCGATGAATGTCGAGACGTTCTCGAGTCCATCCATCGCAAAGGCGAGCAGCACGAAGAAGATGCCAGACACTGGCGGGACGTTGCAACTCAGCAGAAGTCTCAGAAGTTGCAAAAGGTAACCGAGCTTGCGGCGGCCGTCAAACAGGTGAGAGCTGACAGGTCCTTCTGACTATGTCTTTTGAAGTCCGCAAATCTAACCTGAGGTATCCTTAACAGCGAGATCAAGCAGAAAATCGCTGCAAGTCCACTCTCCTTCTTCACGCCACCCTCGAAAAGCGGATCCGCGAGCTCGAGACAGAGTTGGACGACACGAAAGCCGAGAACGGAAACCTCCGTGTCCGCCTCGGTGCTGCGCAGGCCCAAGTCGGGATGACGAAGGCGAAGCTGTCGGACATGGAACGGCAGTTCAGGGATCTATCCGGTCCTGCAGCCATCGCCGCACCTCCTGCTTCCGTAGTCAGGACCGCCGTTGCTCCTCCTCGCCGCTCGGCAGAGACGCTGGGAACCTGGGAACCGTATCCACCTGGCCTTGGCTTAGAGGAGAACGTCGGACAGGTCGCGCAGAAATCGGTCAAGGTCGCAGGAAATCCGTTCGCGGTACTCGGGAAGCGCGCGGGTGGCGCACAGACGGTCTCGCCCTCGAAGCGAGCGAAGCTGACCGGGTCCGCGTTTTCATTGGCACCCCTACCCAAACCTGGAGCGTCACGACAATCCAAGATCCAATTCGGAAGGAGGGTTGGCTGACACCGTACTGTGTCCTGTTCTTACCCTTGCTCGTAAGACTCGCTGCCGGATCCCTGAAAGCTTGTGAATCCAAATCACAACACACAGCAAAATCGCAAGGCAGCGCGGTTACTGCCGGATCCCCCTTCGCAGAAGCTGGGACTTCGGCTGGGCAAGCTTGGACCGCAAGCGACAAGCTCGGGTCCTCCTGATAGGAAGTCCCATCAAGGTCTACACTTCGTTCCAGCCGAAGTACAGAGCCGGACGTCCATCGGAGCATATCTTCGACGAAAAAATGCCAATCAAGTCTGCTCGTAGCACGGGCTCAAGTCGGAGAATCAACTCCAAAATCTGGCAAAACACAGATCGGTCATCCATGTTGGCAAAAAGACAATTCTCCCCTTTCACAATGACAATCCACATCCGCCTCATTCGAGATGACTGTATAGGCTTCTCAGGAGTTTCCTTGTGTAACGATATGCCATCGATTCTGCGCTAGCTCCACCCGCGTCCCGTTGTCCCTATTGAGGTGACATGCCACTTCGTGCTCCATCCCAAAGTCGTTCCTGAGCGGAAGAGAAGACTCGGCGATTAGCATCGGGGACAGAAGGTCGCGAAAGGGCGAAAGCAGGAGGGTCACCTAATGGTGTAAGCCGAGTCGGATGACAGTGCGCTTCCCGTCTGGCAATGGCGAAGGATGACGGCCGTGCCAGGCTGTGAGACGAAAAAGGAAGGTGTCAGAGGAAGCGTCATGGATTGGAAAAAGAGTACGTACATCGATCCGAGATCCTTCCATCTCGGGTCGTATACTCGGATCTGGGTATTCGATCTGCCTGGAGTTGGAGAGGAAATTCAATCCCCGAGCCATGCTATCCCCGAGCCATGAAGATCGAGGGTAGAGTCCGCTTCTGAGCTTACCATACTGAGCGATAGTCTTTGTGAAATGATGCGTAAGCGTCTTGAGACTTTGAGACCTTTGTGATCCGGGTGAAGGACTTTGTTTCCGATGTGAGGTACAGCTTGATGACAAAAGTGAGAAACGATCCTCGACACAGTGGACAGGCTCATGGACGGGATCCTCACCGGTCGCTCCGTCATTCCAGTCAAGGTGATGTAAACCTTGGCTCCAAACACCAGTTCCGGATCCCCGGATCCTGCTGCGCGAGTGTAAGGCTGGACCCTCCAGCAGCATCTCGCGACCGCCCTCCGTTCCGGTGCGGTGGTGAGAGTGAAGGATTCATCGTCCGAGATGCCGTCCGGGTAGCTGTCGGGAATGTCCAACGCGAGGAGCATCTCCGTGTCTGCGTTCTGAGGGATGCACGAGACGGGTGCCCAAATTTCCCGGTCAGCAAAGGACTTGAGAGAGAAATGTGATGGGGGGAGGTGAAAGCAAAGCTGAGGTTACCCGGAACATCAGCGGTGCATTGAAGGTCCTCGAAGAGGATAGCTGCTCCTCCCGTCTCGCGAGTTGCAACCTTCGCTCGTTCTGAGCCACGGCCGAGGCACCGCGGTCGTACTTTGCCAGGAACTCCTTCAACTTCTCCTGAGCGAAAAAACAATTCCACATGTCTCAGACAATGCGGCTGGTGGGTGGTGACCTGCTCCTCAACCTGTGGTTTCCCCCACCCACCTCTCGCAATATGGACTCTTCGGTCCAGTTTCCGATCCTGTGAGACACCGCCTGGGGAAGCTTTCCCATGATGTCTGCTGCGTCCAAGCGCATCTGCACGGTCTCTTCGTTCTCGGGTATCATGGTAGGATGTGCTGCTGTTGCGGTTGCCAAGGATGTGGAGTTGGACAGCGACAAAACGACGGATAGCGACGGATAGCGACGGATAGCGACGGATGGGCTTACGAGACGGAGGGCAAAGAAAGGGGGGACCAACCGGTAGCTGTAGCGGTTTTTTCGACCTTTCATCCCTCTCGCCCTCCTCCTCCTCCCACATTCAACAAGAGACCACTTTTGAACGTATAGACATCATGTCCATCATCAACAAGCCTTGGGATGCTCGCTACGCTGGACCCGTCCCCCACGACGCCGTCTACTACAGGTAAAAAAGAAAAGGGAGAAAAGGAACGAGAAAGACGAAATCTCTCCCTCGAACGCCATCTCGCCGAAATCTCGATTCCACTTGATCCCAGACGGAAATGCTAATCCCACAACCGTTTTGCTTGACTCGTTCAGCAAGTGCATGCTCGGTGGTGTCCTCGCTTGCGGTCTGACCCACACCCTCATGACCCCTGTTGGTAAGTTTTGTACACTTTTTTTTATACCGTCGGAGACTTTGCATACGCTTCACGGGCTGGCTGGAATCCTGACTCTGTCTACTTTTTCGCAGATGTGTAA